TTTCACCGGTGAATACGGGAGCTCTATTATACTCCCCTTTAGGTGTGTTTGTCATTTTCTAAAGAGTTTATTGCAAGCACATGGAATAAACCTAGCTCTTAATGTCACTTGTTAGATGACGATAACTTATCTAGAGGAGATGAATAGATACCCAATTCAAATTTGAGTTTTAAAATATTTTTTAAATCAAGTTAAAAACAATGGTTAGCGGAAGTCATGTCCTAGATCTAAGTCGTCTAAACGCAATTGATTATTGAAGCTCGAATATGCGTTCAATCAAATCAAGTTAAGTAAAGATAATAAGTGAGCAAAACAGGAAATTCTCAATCAATAATTTGAACACAATAAATCAAGTAACATATTTCTAACGAAATTGAAGATAAAAACTTATTTAGATAATTTATCAAACAATTAGTATGCAATTTGACTTTTTAGAATTTCCTTTAAATTTTGTTGATGCTAAAAACTTCTTACATTCAAAGGGATTGTAAGAACAACAACAAAATGATTTAAAGTTTCAAAGAATATTTCTAACCTAATCAATTTTCACAATCAAGAGTATAATAAATTGCTAACAAAATATAAAAGAGATAAAGCGAGAGAGAGAGAGAGAGAGAGAGAGAGAGAGAGAGAGAGAGAGAGAGAGAGAGAGAGAGAGAGAGAGAGAGAGAGAGAACGACGCGATAATTTGTTAAGGAAGTTCAACAATTATCCTCGTTATGCCTTCGTCTCCCCAATTCCATTTTGGAATTGAGACCAATTTCTTACTATTTGCAAAAGTATCTTTACAAGAGAAATGTTGCAATGCACCTCTACAACAGTTATGGTTGATGATGATCCAACAAAATTCTCTTTTGCTTGATGGAGTTAGATTAAGCCCCCAACAACTCCAATTGATTCATCGTCTCACGCTACTAAGTTAAAGGAAAATTGTCTTCAATATTCACTCGGTCGAATCCAATTGCAAGCTTTTGTCACCCAAGATTACCCTACGATTCACCGTCTCACGTTACTAGGCTTGCAAGAACCACCTCGTTCTTCAAGGTCTTCACTCAGTCGAATCCAATATTAGCACAATCTTATTAAAACCATCAAATCTCCACACGATCTTAAGGTAAAAATTCTTGCAATTTTCCATATGAAATCCACTTGAATCTCAACCCAATCTTAGGTTACAACCAACCTAAATTGAACTTTATCAGTCGAGTCTAGATGATATCCGAATAATGAATGATTATGTGTGTGTATGCATAGGGTCAAGGTTGAAGATGAAGAGCAATCAAGTAAGTGTTTATAGTTTCATCAAAATGAATATGATGCATGTATGAGATATATATAAGTGTGAGACTCTGAGGCAAAAGAAAGACCTAGAAACACAAAAGAAAATTGATTTTTGAAGTTTGGTACAGGATGTGTCGACACATGTAAGTTATGTGTCGACACGTGTAAGTTATGTGTCGACACATGCATGACAAAGTTGGACACATGTGTCGACCTGTAGCCGGTCCTGAGTCGACACGTACTTCCAGAGACTTTTAGGCTTTAAAACAACAGCATATGAGTCAACATGAAACTCGTATGTGTTGACATATAGAGTAGTTTAAAGGCATGTGTCGACATGAACAAGAGGATGAGTCGCCATGTACTTAGAGTTATATGCTTTAAAATAACAGCACATGTATCGACATGAACAAGAGGATGAGTCGTCATGTACTTACTTAGAGTTATATGCTTTAAAATAACAGCACGTGTATCGACATAAAACTCGTATGTGCCGACACATGCACATGAATTTTGTGCAAAAATTAATTTTTCTTTTATGAGACCAGTGGATAACCAAACCAAACTTGTTTTATATATTTCCTAAGGTTCTTAATGACTTCTAATGTAAGAGCGCACACAAATACTCAGAGATATCATTTAATGTACATAAAAATTAAGATCAATTCCTAATTTTGACATCATGCAAAACATCTATAGAAAAAATACTTTCACAGTCTATTTTAAATACTCATTGTTTTAGAGTAGATTTTTGTAATATATTTTTATTTTATTTTAAAAATAAAAAAAAGCTTTAAACTTAAATTTATATTTTTTATTTATTTTATTCTTAAACTTTTCCTTTATTAATCAGGGGTTAGGTTTTTCAAAACATGGCCTAAATTTTGAACACAAAAAAAATAATATACGCGTTGTAATATTGACTTTTGGAATAGATATCATTTTCAATGCAGCTGGTGCGGGTAGATTTGGGCTTATATTACTCAAGCCCGTTATCGTTAAATAGACAATGACACTAAAGAATGCATCTGAAAATGTCAAAAATATTAGTAATAAAGTAGCTCAAAAAGTCAAGTAAGTACTAATTTTTAATAAAAACAATAATAAGTTTAATGAGTTACTTGCGACGTGCATATCACATAATTTAAAACGTGCCACAGCAAATGGTGACAAAGAACTTTGTTTACCAAATCAACAAGTACTGTAAGCCACATGTGAAAATCAAAATTTGTAAAATGACATTGAAAGAGTTATGCTGCCCACGTACACTTTTTTAAAATAGTATTAACTTTCTTTTTTCTCGATTATTTTAGAAACCACTTGAGAGGTCCATGCTGAGTTTTGATTCTTAAAGAGGGTATATACGCAGCAGTTGCATGATATAGAATTGGTGATGACGAGTAGGTTGTGCAACATAGAGCATACGCTATGAGAGCATATCTGTTGTATTTTGTTGGCACGTTCATTTAAGTGGACAAGCCTCTTATGTGGATGTCATCTACCTGCGATACATCGATGACTTAGAGTTGGTCAATGAGTACAATTGTGGGGCTACTTATTTGGTCTGTGTACTCCAATATATTTGAAGGCTGTATGTGAAAGACCAAACAAGTGACAAGAAACGTCACACTGTTAACGATATATTTCTACATATTTTAGTGTTTGTGTGTCATTTTTATAACACTTTTGAAACGCGGTTACTAGTGATTAATCTGTTACTCTTTCAAGTTTGGATCCTCCAGCACTTCTCACGCATATTTGGTTGGTCATATGTTATGACATACAGTGAGGATATGCCACGTGCTTCTGCATTCATTCGCTCAGGGGAATCATATGACAGAGTCATACCGAGTGTATCTTGACCGCTTGGTAGCAGACGACACACTTTCATACTTACGTCACTCACATTGAGATGTGTCTCTTTGATGACATAGCCTTGTACTCGTGATGGTTGGATTGTGGTTCACGCCTGACGTATCCTCACATGCCTGAGCACGTCATGCGAAAGTTTGGCTACATGAAGTTTTTCCCAAAAACCCTTTTGTGTATGTGTTTCCCGCTATGACATGTAGGCATATGGATGTTATATTTGATGGTTATCTTAATCATTTGGTACCGGATGAGAGACATAGTTCCAAAGATCCTAGCGACTGGAGCTAAGTAGATGTTACATCAGGTGGTTCTTCAGAGGATCACATTCTTATATGATATACGATACTCCAGGAGATCCACCTAGGTCAGCTCATCAGAAGATACTAGAGGAGAAGCAGACTAGGACAAATCATGTTGTGGATGTCTTGCCTATATGTCGGCGTATCATGGAGATTGGACAGACGAATATTGACAAATGACTCTTTCCATATGGCTCTAAGGTTAGGGACGTTGTAGATGTCATGACGGGGGAGGCACGGGAGGCACTGTAGTACAGGAGGCAGTGTAGGAACAGGGGGCCTAAGTCTGTTATACACAATAGTTTATAGTATTTATTTTATGAGCACTATTATCGATTGTATTTTATTTTGACTTCACTCTGAATTTAATACTTTATATATGTCATTTTCAGCATACCAATTGTATGGTTTAATTTATACAAAATTGATAAAAATGATAGTATAGCTATAATATATCGTCAAATTCATCAGATCATATCTAAATTAATGTCGAAATTTATTGTCTGGAGTGATTCCGGAGATGCATCTCTAGATTCTGTCAAGTGTAAATACGAAGATGCATCTTCGGGATAATTTATGTCAAAAAGAGTGTTGCAATGAGAAACGAATAGGTCATATATGAAGTTGTTCTGAAGATGCATCTTTGAAATAAAATTTGAAAATAATATGAAACTCAACTCAAGTGGTCGTGATTTTGGTGATACAAAATGTGCAATTAGATATGCATCTTCGAAACCAAGAAGAAATTTTCAAATTTACATAGGATATTTTTTCATGATTTATTGTAGGATTAACGATTCCCTTTCGATTTTGTTTCGTGTGGATTGAATCATTTTGATAGTGGACTATTATCCATTTTAAGCATGTGAATTTATGGATTTAATTGTGAACTATTTATTTTAAATTAACTTTTGAGTTTTTTTTTTTTTTATGTTTATCAATCTTTTTCTTAGAGTCACAAAATGATTTGTTTTTCTTTTTTGGTGAGTCCTTCAAACAATCTGAAAAAGTCCATGTTTCATCTCTTAAACTTGCTTCCAAGACACATTCAATATACTTCCCTTTCACGAATCAATGCTTGCATTCTTTCCCAGTTCAAAACACGAGTTTAAACCACTTAAGATCTTTTTGTAACATATTCTAGAAAGAAACAAACCAAGATGACAAAAGAAATTGTCTAATTTCTACAAGCAACATAATAGGTTAGAAAGGAGAAGGAAACTTCACAAACACATTGACTTCGAGGAACATCCTATCCAACACACATGACATATCCAATACTTAGTTAGCGTACGTTTTCTTTTGGTTGGAGTAACCAAATTCATATCCAAAACATTAACTTCATTTTGTTTTCCACATTTTGTGTTACTTTTCCATGCTTACTATTCAACCATTTCTTCGGAAGTGTAACCAAATCCCACACGTAACTCAACGTAAAGTTGAATAATCAATATAAATAAACTAGAAAATACCTCTGACAAGTTCATATCATATCATATATCATATTTTTCTAATTACAGAAATTGAAAGCTTGAAACTCTACAAAATATGTCAACAAAAGGCTCATGGATGACTCTGAAATTCAGAGGTGCTGTTGATGTGGTTCGTGCTAGCAGATTCCAATTAACCCATCGTGGATTCAAGAGAAACTCTCCAATTGTGACGGCGTCAAGGATTGGAAGTAGCTATTGGATGCAACCTAGTATACAATTCTTCAGCACCAAAAGAAACATAAGCATAAACGCAAACAGGTTATTTAATATTTAAACATACCCTCAAAACCCCAAAATTTATTTAAATTTCATCTTCAAATCTAATGGTCAAATTTAAATACTGAAATTTTTTTTCAATATGTAATTCATCAGATTAAAGGATGATGAGGTTCAACCTGAAGCTCCTGATTCTACAATTTTCGCCTTTTCTTCATGGTATGTAAAACATGTATTATATCTTTTCTAAGACAAGTATTGTTTTGATATAACATAGGAAATTTTTTAGCAACGTTTCACAAATTTGTTTCTCCTTGTAAGACATAAGATTTGATAAACAATTGCAGGGTAAAATGGGTTTTGTGTTCGTTAGTTTCTTTCATGGTACCTTTCTGGAGACAAAATTGGGAAAAACTACAGAGAATAGAAGGTACATAGTTAATATGATATACACATAGAAGACACTAAATGATAAATTCACATTTATTTGATAATGGGAAAGAATGAAAATGTTGTTTCAGAAGAGGCAGAGTTTGTGATTGAAGAGGTTGAAAAAGTGGCAGAAGTAATAGAAAAAGTGGCTGAAGAAGCGGAGAAGGTAAGTGAAAATATAGCAGAAAAGTTTCCTGAGGATGCTAAGTTAAAGAATGCAGCATTGGTGGTTGAAAATGTATCAAAACAAGTAGCTCATGATGCTCAGATAACAGAAGAGTTCATACACAAGGTACTCTATTTTTTATTGTTATATATTTCTATTGACATTTAATTGTGTGGTTAATATGTGATTAATTTTTGGAATCTGTTAATGAAACATGTACAGATTGAAGAAGTCGTTGATGACATAGAGGATGTAGAATCATTTGTGGAACCAGCAATTGACAAGATTGTGAAGAAAAAAGAAACTTGAAGAACTGATTCCTGTTTGTATACAGATTTATCTTATGCACAAAATTTATTAATCCAATTGATATGTAACGATATTAACAATGACATAAAAGATCCTGAATGCAATTCAAAAAAATTATCGACATAGCAAATAACATGAAATAAATTGCAAGAAAATAACAATTGAAGAGAGAATAATGTATCACTCATTAAAATAATAATTAAACTACACAAAATAATAGAATGAAGGGATTGTTTCACAAATCAATTGAAACACAGCAAAATGGAGGTAAAATGGAGGATTAAGTCGGCCACACATCTAAGTCCTACCTCGTTTCCCTCTTCACTGAATTGAGATTGTCTCCAAGTGTCCATGATGATTTCGTCAGATAGCAATGACTTCAGTGTTGTAAACCATGGTAAACAGATAGCAACGACCATAGTACTTCATGAAGTTGCTCGGCTCAGAACCCTTTGGCCTTGTCAATCTTTTTCTTTATCATGTCCAATAATACTATGTTCGCTGATTTAGCTGGCTTGTTCGCCTCTAGATGAATAACATAAATAAATTTCCTTGAACACCTAGGTCACGACAGAAATCGACCATGATAGAAATGGCGATTTGAGTACCATTGTTATAGATCATTACTCCTTGTAAGACAAACCTGCACATGATTATTTGCCAATAGAAACGGCGAACCCCTTTAGCTATAATCTTGGAGACTACCTCACCCTCTACCCATTTCGTGAAATAATATACTCCAATGGTCAGGAATTTTAGTTGGACCGACGCCAACGGAAAAAGGGTCAAAGTGTCTACACCTCGTACGTAAAATAACTAGGGTGACTGTTAACTGAGATTTTCGACATTGAAAGAAGGGTCTGAATTTAAAGACCACTTTATAGCGAAGAATTTAGTATGGTAGTCGACCGTTTGTGATCGATGTCGGCCTAGTGTTTTGTCTCGCTCTCAAGGACTTAGCGTGTTTTGGTGGTGATTTTCACGGAACAACTACAATTTCGACTACAAGCGGTTACTTCACTTACAAAAGGATAATATCAAATATCGGCCACGCACAAGAGTCCAAATGTCGATAACACGTGAAACAAGCTATCAACCTCAAAGCCACGTAACAAGGATACGTGTCGAGCATGCACATAGCAACCATAGATGATAGTTACAAATCTAGTAGTATATATATGTAATCCTGGTGTCAGGATTAGGGGTCACAAACTCACATACAATACTCCAAAACTTAAAGTATCTGCATTATAGAGAGAAACAAGTATGTGAGAGAATGTATGATCTTGTGTACCATCTTTTCGTTTCTTACGCATTTTATTAAAGCAATTTCATTTATTTAACTTATCTCTTCATTGGTTTTCTCTTGCTTTCACTTTACCTTACATCAAACCTGACTCAGTCAATAATTTCCTTGTAACCTCTTTTTACTTAACACTAAAAATAATGGATACTTTGAATAAATCTAATAATTCTTGCACAAATATGTCCTAGGATTTATTAGTCGATCCTGCAAGTAACCATCTTGATAGACTAGCCGTTGTTTGCCAAAAATACTGGCAAATAATGACGTGACAGACTGAAGGATCTTCGTTGGCGCATGGTGTAGATTTTGTGTGCCTTGGACACTTGTCACACTTTCTGACGAATGCTTCAATGTCTTTAATCGGAATGGGCCGATAGTAGTTTGTCGTGAGCAATTTGTGGGCTAATGTTTTTCCTTCAATGTGGCTACCACATGTTCCTTTGTGGACTTTTGTGAGCACTAATAGAGCAATACACAGCAGATATAATTTCCCCAACTTGTTGAATCTATGAGGAGCAACAACAAATAATGCAGCAACTAAAAATCAACAACACGAAGAGACACCAAGATTTTTAACGTGGAAAAAACCTTCTCAAAGTGAGAAGTAAAACAACCACGGGCACAAGCCAGTAAACAAACTCCACTATGATCAATGTATGGGTACAAGAGAGTCTCAAATGTAGCACAAATTATGCTCAACAATCAGCCAAGACAACAAGACAACAAAACATGAAATAGAGAACAAAGAAGAACCAGAAAACTCCAAAGGGCTGCTACTGTGCGTGGCCAATATCTCCCACCTCAGACCTCTGACCGCTGATCACACCGTTCAGATTGAAGAACCGGATGTCAGGAACTTTCAATTTAAATTTCGGCCAAATTTGACGGTGAACGAAGGAGATATCGCGATTCTAGTGCAGCTGCTATGTGTATATGCAAAAATTTGTTTCTCTTCTCTCACTTTTCTCTTGCCTCTCTTGCCTAAATCAGACCTCTCCCTCTTACCCTAATTGACCCCTCTCCACTTAGATAAGTGAGACACTTGGGCTTGCACATATTGGGCCTTTCTCCGCATAGGATGGGAGCCCAAAACCCAACATATCTCCCCCTCACAACTATGTGAAGGTGACCGCCAAACCGGCAATCTCACAACAAGTTTCAAACTTGCTTCTCGGTAATGCCTTGGTCATCATATCAGCACCATTATCATCTGTATGAACCTTGGCCAATTCCAACAACCCAGCATCCAAAGTATCATGTATCCAATGATACCTAACATCAATGTGCTTGGACCTAGAATGAAAAGTTGAATTCTTACCAAGATGAATTGCACCTTGACTATCACAAAATAGCAAGTATTTGTCATGCACAAAACCAAGCTCCTGCAAGAATTTCTTCAACCAAATCAACTCCTTGCATGCTTCTGTAATGGCAATAAACTCTGCCTCAATAGTGGACAATGCAACACATCTCTGCAATCTGGATTGCCATGCCACAGCTCCCCCTGCAAACTTAATCAAGTAGCCTGAAGTAGACTTTCTGGAATCAATGTCTCCAGCCATATCAGAATCAGTATAGCCCACAAGAGTTGGTATATCACCTCCAAAACAAAGCCTCAAACTGGTAGTACCATGAAGATACCTCAAAATCCATTTCACAGCATTCCAATACTCTCTACCTGGATTAGACAGAAATTTACTGACTGTACCAACAGCATGTGCAATATCAGGTCTTGTACACACCATTGCATACATCAAACTTCCCACAGCATATGCATAAGGAACCCGTTGCATATCTAATTTTTCAGCTTCATTGGAAGGACTCTGATTAACACTCAATTTGAAATGAGCAGCAAGAGGAGTACTTACAGCCTTAGCATTTTCCATCTGGAACCTCTGAAGCACCCTTTTAACATAGTGTTCATGTGACAGCCAAAGTTTCTTCTTGTTCCTGTCACGCATGATTCTTATACCAAGAATCTGATTAGCAGCTCCCATTTCTTTCATGGCAAATGACTCGCCCAATTGCTTCTTCAACCTGTCAATCATGGAAATATTTTTCCCAACTATAAGCATGTCATCAACATACAATAATAGGATAATGAAATTATCATCAGCAAACTTTTTAACAAAGACACAATGATCAGAAGTAGTCTTCTTATAGCCTTGCTCACACATAACAGACTCATACTTCTTGTACCACTGACGTGGGGCTTGCTTCAAGCCATATAGGCTCTTTCTCAATCTGCACACATAGTCTTCCTTGCCTTTAACAAGAAAACCATCAGGTTGCTTCATGTAAATCTCTTCCTCCAAATCACCATGAAGGAAAGCAATTTTTACATCCATTTGCTCTACCTCTAGATTAAGAGTAGCAACCAAACACAACACGGTTCTTATTGATGACATCTTCACCACAGGAGAAAAAATCTCAATGAAATCAACACCATTTTTTTGTCTGAAACCTTTCACCACCAATCTGGCTTTATATCTTGGAGATGTAGAATTGCTTTCTTGCTTTACCCTGTAAATCCACCTATTTTCCAAAGCCTTATTGCCCTTAGGCAATTTCACCAAATCAAAAGTGTGATTATCATGCAAAGACTTCATTTCATCTTGCATAGCATCCAGCCACTTCTTCTTTTCATCACTCTCCATGGCCTCATTAAAACACTCAGGTTCTCCTTCATCTGTCAAGGTAACATAGTCATCAGAAGGATACCTGGTAGATGGTTTCCTTTGCGTATTAGACCTCCAAAGTTGAACTTGAGGTGGTTCAGGAGAATCACCAAGATCTTCATCTTGTGACATCTCATGTTCCTCTTCAGCATCATCAACAGGAATATCTACATCATCTCCAAGCTGCTGGTCGCCAACATCATCATGTTGCTCATCATTCTGAACATTATTTTCAGCAGTATCCAGATCATGTACAGGCCTCCGAACTGGATCAACATCAGATAAAATATTATCAATCTTTGGTGTAGTCTTCTCCATCTTATCAATGTCTTCAATGGTTTGGTCTTCCATGAACTTCACATCACGGCTTCTAACAGCTTTCTTCCCAACTGGATCATATAGTTTGTAGCCAAATTCATCCTGACCATACCCGATAAAAATACACTGCCTTGTCTTTGCATCCAACTTGGATCTCTCATCCTTTGGAACATGAACATATGCTTTGCAACCGAAGACACGCAAATGATCATATTTGACATTCTTGCCAAACCAAATTTTGTCTGGCACCTCTGCATTCAAAGCAACCGCAGGACTCAGATTAATAACATGCGCTGCCGTGTACAATGCTTCACCCTAGAAATGTTTAGGCAACTTTGCTTCAGAAAGCATACACCTAACTCTTTCAATCAAAGTCCTATTCATCCTCTCCGCTAAACCATTCAGCTGAGGAGTTTTAGGAGGAGTCTTTTCATGTCTGATACCGTGCTGCTTGCAATAAACCTCAAATGGTCCACAATACTCACCACCATTGTCAGTACGAATGCATTTCAGCTTCTTGCCTGACTGTCTCTCCACCATAACATGGAACTCTTTGAATTTCTCCAGAACTTGGTCTTTTGTCTTCAAAGCATAGACCCAAAGCTTCCTGGAACAATCATCAATAAAGGTAACAAAATAAAGTGCACCACTAAATGACTTTACCTTCAACGGGCCACAAACTGAAAGAACAAGATTAG